AATTTCTCTTTCTAACATCTTTTTTTCTTTCGCACTTCCGTCTTTTCTCTCATTCTGTTCCACCTCTCACCCGCTTTTTCCCTCCTCTTTCTTTCTGTGTTCAGTCTCTTTCTCGAATTGCTTTTCAATTCTATTTGTATAAAATCTTCTTAATGCTCGGCGTTCTGGGGTCCGGCAAACCATTTTGGTGTTGATGAGAGTACATGTTGCGTTTCTGTGTTTTTGGGTCTGTGTGAGATTTTTCAGTAACATGGCCACTAGGTAAGTGGTTTGGGAGGGCGATGGAGCAAGAAAAAAAAAAAAAAACTCAGATAAATCTTGTTCGATCACTTCCATCAAATCTGTTACACATTGTTGGTGTGTCCAAAATTTACTTCTCGGTAGATGAGGAAGCATTTTTTTTTTTTTAATTTGTTACTTTGAAAGTACAGATGTAACAGGAAATTCGTGGCTTTATAAAATGTGACGTCAGGAATAACTGCTATCCTCTGGCATTTTATAGTTTTGATAACTTTTAGTTGCTTCAACTGTTTATTTGGAGTGATAATGAAGCTTTATATTATTCTCACTTCTACTACCGGTTAATTGACTGAAAAGAAATATTCTGGCAAAAATTGTCTTGATTCTTTTCTTTTTTTATCCCCTTCCGTTATTTAGTGTTTCGTATAGATATGTTAAACAGGAACTAAACAGTATTAATTTTAGGCTTTTTACCGTTAACGTTTTATCTCGGCGTAGTTCGTCCGTGTTGTTTGTACTGCCATAAGCTTGACTTACTATGTTTCTTTGCTACTGTGATAACTGAGAAAATTGACTTCTGGGATAACTTTTCCTTTCTACAGGTATTAAAACTTTTTTGCTGCTTATGATAAAGCAGCAGTTACAGCGTTAATATTATTTTTCTGTATAGTTTCTAAAACTAAAAAATTTATGCTCTATGCGTTAATTTGTTTATGTTCTTTTTCGTGTTCGGCATAAGTAGTTTTTCTCTCTCACCTATTACTGGGATATCTTTTGTACTATACTCGAAGGACAAAAATAGGAGTAAAGTGTTAAAAAAACCTCTTTGGAATTGTAATTTTTGTTTTTATTTTGTCATTAATCAAGGTGTTGAAAATGTTGTTTGATTTGTACAATTTCTTATCTTTTTAGACGAATTTTTGTGTCATATAACGGTGTCGTTGGTGACGGTGTTCGAGGATACGGTGCTCATCATTACATCTCACAGGCTTTTTTTTTTCTTTTTTTCTTTTTTTTTTTTCGGATTGTCCACCCGAATGGAGAAAAACGTGCAGCAGAATCTACACAAATATTTTGTTCCACTTCGGCAGACTTCATCGAAGTAATTTTTATTAACTTATTCCTGTTAAATGTTTCTCAGTCTACAGAACTTTTTTAAACCTTTTTATGGAAACTCTCATTCTTAGCACTGAACATTGGCTCTCTGTACTTTTATTTACAACAAATCGTCAGTTCCATTGTTGCGTTTCTCAGTGGTAAATTTTCTTTTGGTTTTGAGTGAAAAATTTCTGTTCAATACGATTTTGGCAGTTGAAAAGTATGCAGTATTTTCTACGTGTTATAGCCCTCCCGTAGAGATAGTCTCTTCAGCCTATCCTTAATGTAGTCTTCAAATCAACTTCAAAAACAATTTTGTGCACAAGTTGTTCTACATGAATTTCAGTACTAGTTAGCCTTACAAATATTGTTTTATAACGTCTTACCATTGATTAATTGCAGTCTCTAAAGCTTACTGTGAAAAACAGTTGGGATTGATTGAACAAAATAATGGATTTAAAAGATGCCGCAGTGTTAATCTGTGGTAGCTTTTTGTTGTTTTGTTCGCCATTCTCTGTTGTTGAAGTTGCCGACTATCTGATTTTTATGATACTTCGCAGCATCTAAAGTGCTATTGTAAGAATCTTTTGGGGCAACATAGAACATAAATGAAACTTTATTTTGAATTTTAAAGGCAAAAAAGGGAGCAAAACGTGGAGGAAAAATTTTGGGAATATGTTGATTCTCGAATTTTGCACACATTTTCCGGCCATCTTTAGTCCCTCTCTCAAACGGATTGGAAATATAGCCTTTTCAAATTCTTTTTCTTTATTCCTTCTCTGTTCAAATACTTTCCACGCATTTCTTTTAGAGCGGCCAGTAGAAATTATCTTAATTACTAGATTCTTAGCGCCCTTCTGTGTAGCAACGGTAATTATAATATTACTCGTTGCTCTTCATTAAATTCGTCTGTTTTTGTAGTTCAGTGGGCTCACAGAGCTGCTCATTGGAAACATCTCGAAATTTCCTTCTAAATTTCTCGATGGGTGCAACTGCAGCGGAAAGCACTGTCAATGAGTGAAAAAAAAAAAAGCAAATTGATGCAAGCAAGCCAAAAGAAATAGAAATTTTAGCGTATTACGTGGGTTGGAAAATACTTTTTTTGATCCGCCTGATAAGACTCCAAAATCATCCCGGCACAGTTCTACTAGAAGACCAGAAAGAAAGAGGACATCTCTACAGCTGCCGGCTCATCTGAGTCTCAAAAGACCAAATTTTGAGGTTATCTGTTCAAAACGTTTTTGTTGTAACTGACGCATTTTGTATGATTGTGTATAAGAAATGTGCAGCAGGTATGTACTGATTGTTATTGACATGGAAGCCTTATTTTTCGTCTCATTTTCTTTTTAACTGTAGTAGTTGTTGCTTAAATTGAGTTGAAGCTGAATATAATAGGTGTTGGAGTGCGACAATCTGTATGAGCTGCCAACTGATGCAGAGTTTGAGAAATATCGAGAAATTCAATTTAAAAGTTTCAAATGTTGTTTTCAGCAGGAAGGCCTACCAGGCGAGCTTCATGTGGTGAGCTCTGTCATGGGTTTTACCTTCTCGACAGTTTTTTCAAATTTTCGATTTATTCCTTAATTTCTTCTTTTCTTTTGTCATATGAATTTCCTCTGCTTTCTGGCGCTTATTAAGCCATTTTAGGAATATTCGCTGGAGATTGTTTCTCATCCTGAAGTACAGTCATCTGCATTTGAAAGCATCAGTGCAAAGACATTGGGCGAATTGTTGACGAAGCTGTCTAAAGAAGAATTTATGGAAAAATACTTTTTGGTAGACTGTAGATACCCATTTGAGTACCGTGGAGGCCATATTAAGGCAAGTTTATTTTTATTTCCAGTAAAATTTTTTTATTCTGCTGAATATTTGAAACGAAAGTGTATAGTTTTTACATATTTGTAGTGTGCTCATAACGTTCACGATCCGAATGAAGTCGGAAATGTGTTCTTCCCTTCTACTAGTTCTGAGGGTCATTCATGTTCTCGGAAAGTTCTCATTTTTTATTGTGAATATTCGCAGAAAAGAGGACCAGCAATGTCAGTGTTTTTAACATTTTTTACGGTTTTTGATTACTTTTTAAGTGTTGCTTAGCAGTACGTGCATCTTGTTGTTTTAAATACTGCCGGAAAAGTGGTTATAGGGCTCACTGTGTCCGAGCATTCGATCGTAGCCGTAACTGTTACCCGGAGGTTGACTTCAAGGAGATGTATTTGCTCGACCGTGGATACAGTTCTTTTTATAGATATAACGCTGCGGCAGAACTAGTATGACGTCTGATGACTTTTTTTTATTGTTCTCTGTGTCTTTAGTAACGACTTAATTCAGGATTTGTGTGAACCGAATGGGTACATCAAAATGCGTGATAAACGTCATGCTGGAGAGCTTCGAAAGTTCAGATGTCACCAGATGAGGTCAACAAGCGCTTTTGATACTACATTAAGGCCTATTTCAAAACTGCAATGCAGAAGGAATCGGTGTCGCATGTCTAGGGTAGGTCCAGGTTGCCTTCTAGATGGTAATTTTATTGCAGCGTTCTTCCGTTCTAATTTTTAGGTGTGTTGTAGTTTACCCGTCTTTTTAAACTGTTTTCTTAAAGTAATCGTTTCTAGACTTGTTCGTTACTTTCGTCTTGCCATGTGTATTCCGACGATTCTTTATGTGGATGTGAGTGTGCGGGGCCACCAGAATCTCCCACTAAGTTCAATGATTCTAGCTAGCAGTATCTGTTATTTTAATTGCATGGGTGTACATATGCTGTTAAAACATGAGCATGATTTAGTGTAAATATTTTTTCAAAATAGTTTTTGATAATAATATGTTTCTAGTTAACATCTTTGCAACCGAGGTCATCTTTCTAATCTGGTGTAATGCTGTTAATAGTTCTTCAACCTTGATGTGTTATAGTCTTTGTATTAATGACACTCTTTACTTCAGTTACACGTTACTATGATCAGCGCTTTTTTTTTGTTCGTTTGCTTTTATTCTTGGTTCAGCTGGTGTTAACCGTTAAGCAAGTGTAGTGAGTATGGTTCATGTGAAGGTGTGTTTACTACAGTTTCAAAGCTATTTTGTTCAGCAGTGTTCTTTCTTGGTAGGTGTTTTACACTTTGATTTGTTTCACTATAAGGGGATAAGTACAGAGTTGATATCAGTTTTTCAAAGATCATAGTGGTTCAACTTTTCAGTCTTCTAAAATGTATGGTTTCTTTAGTTCAGTATCTGTTTTTGCTGTAATGAGTTCTCGTTAAGCTGTCAATGCTAGGGTTTTTTTTTAAGTTGGAGGATGGAGAAGGTAGTGGGGTATAAAGAGATAAAACAGAGTAGTTGATATCGTAACTGCTGGGGCTTGTCCAGTTCTTGTTTTTGACTGCAGTGTTCGCAGCAGTGTTTGTACGAAAATTTCTGTGCATTTCAGGTTGCCAAGTCTTTTAGCGCTATTAGAATGATAGTGCATTTAAACCTGACAGTTCCGCAATGGTTAATATTTTTTACCGGTAAATAAAGCCTTTCTGAATCGTTTCGCTGATTCTTAAAAAACATTCTTTTTGGTGTTTCATTATTCCGTCAATCTACTTCTGCCGTCTGTCACTTTGTGGCATATAGGTGGTTCTAAATTTTGGAAGGTGTGTGATGTATAAGCTTCTTTTGATAATTTATCTTAATGTTTGTGCTTCACTAAAGGTGTTGGTTTCAGTCGGGCAGTGTGGGTTGTAAAGGGATACAATGAGGTTTAAAGAGGTTTTGTAAAATTTTTTGCCAAACGGTGTGATTTTTCGAACATCCCAAAAAGTATAAAACTGGATTTGATTATTTTCGTTATTGAGCAGGACGAGGTAATCACAATTAATCAGGCAGGTTTTTTGCCCTTTGTGTAAGTCCACAGAACTATCAAATATTTTTGGTAGCTGTAGTGCTGCAGATGTTTGGGGGAAGGAGTCGGAGGGGAGCGGTACGAACTGAAGAGCAGAGTGTATTTTACAGATTTGCTTAGAGTTGATCTCATTCGTATTTGTAATTTTTTCAACGCCAGATTTGTTGCTTCTATTTTGCTTGTGTTGATCTTGTCGAGTTTAATGATGTTTTTCTCTCGGTTGTACGAGTTTTACGGTATCAAGCGCCGATTGGTGACCGTATAAAACTAAAAGACAAGCGGAAGGGTGAAAGAAAGAAATACAGACAAAAAGAATGTACTTTGCTGTAAGTATCTCTCTGTTAGTGAAGCAGAAGATTTAGAGGTCGCAGAAGACGGTCAGAGAAGGATAGTTGTGACGTCATTCAACCGTTATGTTTTACATCGTGGAACCGGAAGAGAACATTTTTTGAACTCCAAACTTTCTCAAGGTTTTCGTTAGTTTATTGTGGGGTTAATTCAGTGCTTAATTTTAGTTTATTGTAGAGTTAATTTAGTGCTTAAAGTCTTATGGTTCTGTAGCTTGATTTCTCTGTACTGTAGATAGCCATTTTATTGTCTCACCAGTAATCCATTAACCAGACTGTCCATATCTCCTAATAATGGTTTCCAGGCAGTACTCTAAACTGTTCAAAAGAATATTAGTTTTTTTGCAGAAAATGACATAAGACTATATTTTTGCTGTATTCAACTAACGAAAATTCTTGAATTTGCGATGAAGAGTTTGCAGAGGCACACATTGTTCGTCTTCTTTTTCCACTAATTTTTTTTTTTTTTTGCTTTAGTGGGTTGCTTTATTTTTTTGTCGGTTTATGAAGTTGTAAAACTGTATTTTTTTTGTTTAACGGGTTTCTTCAGTAGGCTTACCGGTGAATAATATCAAAAAAAAAATTTGTGTTTTCTATATCGCCTTTTTCACGCTCTGCTGGTTTACTGTTTATTAGTTTTCTTACGCTTGTTTTAAAAACTGTTCTTGTAGGTAGAGTAATTGATGGTATAGAACAGACTAACACACTGGCACATTAAATCATCTTTAAGTTCAATAAATTTTGCACAAAAAATTATTTTCAACTGAAAACATGTGACTTTCAAAATCACCACTTATTTAGAAGTTTTAGCGTTTTCTTTTTTTTAGGAATTTTGTGGGAACAAAAAATTGGAGAATTTCCCCAGCTATTCTTCAGTCATTTTGCAAATTGCATATCTTACAAAATCTTCATAGCACCAAGGACAGTGCTTAGTGGTTTTACTTTTCCACACTTAGTCTGATCGGGTAGCTGATAGTGAAGCGGTTTTTCTGGCCAACTTTAGAGAACGTCTCGTCTTTGCGTGAGGATTACTGTCAGCGAAAATAACGGAAAACACGGCTTTACAATGCTTTAGCTTAGCTAACTAAAAGGAAAGATGCTTTGCACAAACTAAAAGGAAAGATGAGGTGATTGCAATGATACTGTCAAACATACTGCAGATATTGATACTGCAGTTTTATCAATTGTCTTCTCAGCTGTGTTTGCTGCCAGTACTTCAGTGTCATCTTTTTAGTTGATAATGGACTCTCAGAAAAAAAAAAAAGTTTGCAATTTTGGATTTTTTTCATGACCAAAGAAAAGCTGAAATTTTTTTTCTGTTGCAAACAAAAGATAAATTGTGAAAAAAATTTTATTTTGGTTGCAGTAATTTTAAAGTCAACGACATTTTCTAGAAATGTACCACTTTCTTCTTCTTAAGCGTCTGATGATTAATTGGTCATTTAGAATGTCTCAAACAAATAAGTGTCATCAAATTTATAAAAGAAAAAAAAGGAGAAGAAAGTTAATGGCTGCGAGAACTTTGCCGCCTCCATTTATCACAATGATTAAACCAGACGAGAGCTATTTGTGATAAACAGATATAATTTTGCTGTAGCTGTTTTCTAAGTTTTTTGCGAATTTGACCACTTTGTTTGCCAATAGTTCAAGTGAAAAAAAGAACTTGTTTCAAGGATTAAAAGCTACTTTTCTAGACTAACTTCGTTTTATTTCTTCCACAAGCAGGTGTCATGTAACGTCAGTAGGTTAGTTTAAACTTGAAGAACAAATCTTTTACTGTCATTAAAATGTCCAGTTTTAGTTCCAACCAGAAACTTACTCCACGTGTATAATCTAGTAATAAAGGCGTTAAAATGGCACTAATAATATACGTCTGATAATAAAGACGGTAAAAATGGCTTGCTGGCGCAATAAAATTTTTCAGAACTATTAGACGTTCAGATGAAAAAAAGAGACTTTCAAGTGCTTCTGAAAGTATTAAATCACGTAAAAATGGTCAAAAGTAATCTTATTGAATTAAGCATAGCAGAGACATTAATATAATTAAACGTTAAGTATTTCCTTCGTCTACTGTAGTTTTCAGTTTTAATTTATCTGATATGATGGTCCGAAGTGTTAATGAACAGATTTTTCTTTATTATGCAGGTGCTTAAGGTGTACTCAATTTTTGTTCCTTTTTTTCAAATAAATTTACTAGAAATCAGATTTTTTTTCCCAGTAAATTAAGCGCCGTAAAAACCACTGTACAATTTTACATATTTCAAGCCTTGACCCGTGCCGCCAGTAAGATTACCTTCTACTTCGCCTGTGAGGGAAAATGTGTTTTTCCCTCCAGTCCGCTGAGACGTTCCTTTTTCCTTTCTCTTTGGTTTCTAGTTCGGCCTTTGAAGAATTTTGTTAGGTGCGATTACTTGTAGTATAGTGTAAGCAGTATGTTGTCTTCATTAACTTTGGCACAATTTCTTTACACTGTGGAATTGTTAAATTATTACTATCAGTTGACCGGGCACAAGTACGGAGCTGCTTTCATAAAATTTCTTTCAACCAGTGTTTTGTGAAAGCAATTTTTAAAAAAAAAAAAAAAA